TACAAATCAATTTGTTTGATATCGATCACTCCCTTCTTGCAATCATCTTATCGTACATTAAAATGTGAAGTTATTTCCTTTATTGTGTCTCTTCCCGGTCTAAGTTTGATCCAGTTCGCCCGTGAATTAATTTGCATTCACTGAAATATAAGTACAAATTGTCTGACATATCAATCTTCGTTTGGCAATCATATGACCGACCTTCGTTTAGTAAACGCAAATGAATTCACGCGTACACAGTGGGTCGAACGCCTCAAAATCGATAGCAAGTCGCAAATTCGATTCTCGAACGCGATGTATTTTGACGTTTGGGATTTTGCACGAGCACATCGCTTCCCAGAATTCCGGAACATTAATTGCGAGCATCGAATTCGTCTCAGCATTACAATCACGTGTCATGTAAAAATAAATTCAAAGCTGATCCTCACAGATTACTGTATATTATCATATTATTTTATTTCTTCTTAGAACTAAGAATATCTTTTTATTTATCCTCCTGTGTTTTCACACTTACTTCATAGCAAGAATGCACACTACTTCGGTTGTAGCAAAAACTTTGTTTGGATAAAATAGTTGTATTTTTTTGGTTTGTTTACAATCGTCATTACCTTCGTATTTATATATTTATATATGTATATTATTTATATATATATATATTTTTTTTTTATTTATATGTATCTATCGCGTTATTCATTATGGTATTAGGGTAGGTTGTGTTCCTTGATATTCGCTATTAGTATTGTTAGATTTTAAAAAGCTTAGATCGTAATGATATTATCAATTGGTGCTTGCATAGAAGCATCTTTCCGGTATATGTGTCTCTTAATGTGTACATGTATGCGTGTTTATGTCGCTTAAGGAATGTCGCTCGCAATGGTATGTGAGAATGTATATGCATATATATATACATACATATATATACATATATGTATATGTATGTTGTTGTATGGCATATGAGAGAGTCGCGCGATGCGCGCACACGTAGTACATATGTGTACGTATGTGTGTGTGTGTGTGTGTGTGTGTATGTGTGTGTGTGTGTGTATCTATATATCATGTTAGCGATCTGGCACCACTTTTTATCTCAATTTCTACCTTCGGGCGTTCGCTCCGCGTCGTATCGCTCTGCGATTTCTTTCAAGTGGACTTTGTCGAGTTTGTCGCTCGAGGGTAATCTCATTCCTCTCTTTCTCCATCTCTCATTCCCTGAAATTTGCACGTCCCACGAGAGCGAAGAACGCGTGCGAATAATTCCACGGGAGAATCGAACCATTCGCGATCTACAGCTCGTGCGAGACATTCGCGTAGTAAAGAGCATCCGATAGAATCGGATATCCTCGCCATATCGAAAATCGATACGCGAAAAAGAACGGATCCCGGTTGCCACGAGAGACGCGGGCAAAGATTTTCCTTACGCGATCCATCACTCAATTTCCGCGCGCCGTCTCTTGACGATGTAACCGTAGAATAAACGCGATCCACAGAAAACGTGAAAGTTCGCTTGTGTGTTTGAGGGCGAGTCTGCGCTACTCGCGTGATTACGGTCTCGATGGGAAATCACCCGGAGGGATGGAAACCGTCCGACTCAATCTACGCGGCCGGATCGACGTACCTATCCGCGGACAAGGAGAATCGTAGAGGAGCGTCTAATCCGTTCCAATCCATTCATCTCGTAATTGTATTTGGCGCACTTGCATTACACAGACCCCGTGCACGTATGCCGGAGAGCTGACAACGATCATCCGTGAGAAGCGAAATGTCCGTTTGCGGAGACGATGATCCTATCCTGTGACGGACGCAGCCTCTAATGGATGCATCCTGCGAGCGTGCAAAGATAGTTAGGCATGACCGTGATTTCTAATTATGTTTACACGCGCGCTTGTACACGGAGGAGGATTCCCGTATATATGTGCATGTATGTATACATGGCTTCCACCATGGTGATTTTCCGTTGATTCAATTGACAAGTCGGATTGCACGAAAATGTTTTTTTTTACCAGCTTTTTTCGTGTGGAACAAAATGGAATAATTTTTTATCCGATTACACTGTATTATATTCGTTTTAAAAATTTTATCGGAATAAAATTTGACGGACAAAAACTGTTGAATGATTAATAAGGACCCCGTGGTTTGTTCACTTCCACTTTGCATCCGTGCACGAGTTGTAGTGTACGCGACGCGGCAGAGTTTTATCTACAATCTTGCTGATAATATCACGATGAACTTTTGCACTTCCTATAAATATCCGCGAGTCTCCTGTCGTTGAGACAACTACGTCCGACATCGTTAATAGCTTCCCCCTTTTTCTTATATATGTATATTATATAAATTTAACCTTCTAAAAATGACAAGAATATATGCGTATGTTTACGTTATCACGTAGTTATCGTATAAGTTATGTATGTATATGTACTATAAATAATTGTTATATTATATTATTCCTTTATCTTTGTCATTTTAGAGTTATTTGGTTTATCATTATGTATATATATGTATATATACATATATATATATATATATATAGTTAAATATATAAATATATATATATATATACATATATTAATATTATGTATCGTCACATTCGTCGATAACCAAGTTCTTCTCTTTTTTAAGCGCCTCTCTCATCGTCATATAATTAACTCGTACGCACACACGTGTGCATGCGCGATTACACACGCGCACGTGCGCAAATCACGTACTGGGTGTTCGTTAATTGCGTACGTGTGTCGCGTGAACATGCGTACCGCGTGCGTCGTACGTCCGAACGAACAACAAATTCGAGGAGCAGATTGTAAAATAAAAAAAATTTTTTGCTCGTCTAAGAACGCAAGTACAATATGTATATATATGTATATATATATATATACATATATATGTTTGTGTATAACGTAATATATGTATAAACGAAAAATAGCAGCGCGACGCATCCAGCAATTTCGCGTCTCACTAAACTCGCCCTCTTTCCCATTCCTTATGTATGTGTCTCCGCGTAATAATTTATTAGACGTTGATTTAGCTAAAACTAGAATAATTTACTAAGTTTCTAGTTTCTTTCAATCGATACGTATATACGCACGTACACGCGTTACATACATATGTGTATGTGCGTACGCATATATATATATATTATATATATATATATTTTATATTTATAATATTTATATTTATATATATATTTATATATATACTTCCTCTTTTTTTCTCAATAATTCATATTTATATATTTATATATGTATATATATATGTCAGTTGTGTTGGTACTTTGGTTGATTATTTCCGCTAGATCAGAGTTTTTCTCTCCGCTCCATCGCTCACCTACCCTATCGCCTATCCTACGCGTAATTTATATATTCGGTCTGTTTCATCCACCAATTCATTCCACTCACCCCCTTCCCCCTCCTCCCTTTCTTTCGCGTACGTTCGTACAAATCGCCCGAGACGCTCTGCGTATCCGACCGGGCATCGCACGCGAAATGTTCAAAAAATGTTTTGTCTATTTCAGTCACAGGAATTCCGTATGAACACGCACGATTGATCGATAGGCATATCGAACCTGCCATCCGGCAGCGGCCCTTTCCTTCCGAAAAAAAAATATGTTCGACATTCTTGGTATCTATATAGCCATTAAAAGTCCCGGCCACAATATAGAACGAAACGTAATCCGATTATTTAAATCATTGCACAGTAAATTCAGCTTGCGAACCGTTCTTAACTCAATTTTTTATACTTATAAGATAGAGTCAAACGTAAGAAGATATTTCCCTAGTTTATTTCTCTTTCTAGTATCGCAGAGATGATAAGCGTTTTTTAGGACAGATATTGCGTTTTTACGCAATATATAACTAGATTATATTATTTGTTCTCTTTGGTTTTTTTTTTCCCGCTCTTTTACTTATTTCTCTATTTTTTCCTTCTCCCTATTTTCTCCTACTTTTCACACGATAACAGAAAAATTATTAGCATACAATTATATTATCCTGTCGGAACAACGTCGGAAACTTAAAGAGGACCGTCGTTGGCAACATCGTCATCGTCATCGTCTGGACAATCACAGCCTGCCTGACATTTCTCGAGCGATGCTTACCGTTCGGGCGAAGCCAACCCGTCGATCATCGATCCTAGCAGATGATCGGAATCGCGAAATCGATCGCGGGACAGGCGGGTCGATCGCGATCGCGCCCGCACGCGACTTTATTCTCTCTCGATCATGTTCGCGCGCAGGAACCATAAACGGAATAGATTATACTTTCGGCCGGAAACTCGCGCGTCACTTACTTAGCGATAATTATAATGATAATCACCGTAACCATAATAGTAATAAGTGCTATTAATCGGGAAGGACGAGAACGCCGTGTTGTGAACGCGCGCGATTTCGAAGATGAGACTCGTCTCCTCTTCGATATGACGCGCTACGGCGCGCGCGAACTTCTCTTCACTCTCTCTCTTTCTTTCTCTCTCTCTCGCTCATTCTCTCTTTCTTTCTCTCTACCTGTAGTATATAAAATCTATAGCGCGCCATACATGTTAATAAATCTTAAACGTTAAGGAGAACCGATATCCGGCGGGGATGTCGGACCGGCGCTGAGCCCAAGTTCGCCGCTTGATTCTCTGCTTTTTTTTTCATTTTTTTTTGTCTTTTTCTTTTTTTTCAAAGTTTTCAAATGCGTTTCGTCAGACGAGCACCCTGTATAGCGTATGATTGACATTTGTCTTTTTGGGAGAGAGATATCGATCTCTCGTCCGTGCCTTCGGGACGAGAGAGCCTGCGTTTTATTTTACTTTCGTCAGTCTCGCGCGGGGGATTATTATCTGTCCCGTCGTCGTCGGGGATGACGTCGCGCGGGATCTTCATCGCGATGATTACATTCGTTCACTTCGCGTGCGGTACAAAAGATTCGTTAGGTTCTCGTGTCGGTGATCGCTGAGCTGTTCCATCCAGCTGACGTACGCGATTGGATCCTTATTGAGGATCGTTCGAATCGATTTGGTTCTGATTTTCCTTTTTTTTTTTTTTCGCAAGCGCGCACACACGACGCGTCGTCAAACTGGCAACGAACACACACGACGAGAGCCCTACAGGTATTTTTTTTTTTTTTTTTTTCGACGGGATATTTCGCGATTTGGCTATTGTCGGTTTTGATGTCGTCGATTTTTGATGTCGTCGCAACACGACGTGCGTTCAAGTGTAATACGTCGCCGTATATGACGAGCTCGGCCCGGACTTCCGGTGCTTCCGGAACGGCACGTCTCTCCGGGAGGATGATCGGATCCTCGAAATGTTCCGCTTATGCGCCCTCGAGCTCGAACGTAATCTCTCACCTGGCAGTAGGAGACAGAGGCTAACCTCGCGGAGGATCCAAAAGAAACATGCAGATTCGAAGTGGGAGCTGGTGAAAGGGAGAAAGGGGAAAGCCAATGTTGTCTAACGACGAAGCATTCCGGGGTTATCCGAGCATCCGGAAAAACGTTGTCTCAGCGTGCCTCGTCCTCCTCTTCTCGTCTTCTCCTCCTTTACTCATTCTCTCTCGGACTGGGTTCAGCGCAGAACATCCTTCATCGCTTTCGCTTCAGCCTCTTCTTCGCCACCGCCGCACGAACTTCAACGTCATTGAAGCCGTTGTTGTCCTACTGACCTCTAAATCTTTTATCCTCTAATGAATTAACTAACTAGTATACTAAATTGTTACGGTGGAGAGCGTTGTAACGGTGATTCAAACTCGTCACTCCTGATCGTCGAGCGTCCATCGAGTTTACGTTCTCGTACGACATCTGTAATTCAGAGTGACAATATCATGTAATCTATGGAAGAGTTGCGTGTAATATAGATTGTGATTTGTCACAATTATAATGGTGTATACAATTTAAACAACAATATAGCATTATCAATGTTATATCATTTTAAAATTAATAACATTGTATAACTGAAGAACTTACTATGTAAGTTTTATAACGTAGGGCGCGACTCGTCCAGATTTTCTAGGCTAGGACGTGGGTTAGTATGGCCGGCTGGCGTCCTTGGGCCTCTTCAACTGGACTTTTAATCGTTTCATCCCTATTTGGAAGCCGTTCATCGCCTGGATTGCTGTTTGCGCGCTTGTTGGATTATCGAACGACACGAAACCTGAAAATACCGAACATTGAATCCTGCAGTACGTAAGATTTTTTCCACTCCTTAAAAAAATCTTCGTTCTACATTATGAAAAAGGTATAATCTTCAATTGTTAATGTACAGTTGAAAAGGCGCTAAATATTTGTAATAGAAATAAAATTGATATAAATATAAATATATGTGTTGATTAATTAATGATAGGCAGCATCCTCTTTAATAAATTGCGTATATAATAAATGGAACAAAATTTGTCTCGTCGCAATTACATTCAGTTTATCATTTCACAAAATTTCTATATATGCTTGAAAATCCTCTTAAACATAATTGTTATTTTGATTATTTGGGGACGGCGCAATCTAGATGAACCAGATCTTCTGTGAGGAGTAAAAAGTTCGCTGGATATTACCCAAGTTATATCGGTAAAGCGATAACGAAGCCCCTCGGCAGAAACGTTCCCAAAAGATCGTCACGAGTTTCTTGGTTTAAGCCAATTTTGACCATTAGCGTCGATCTCATTTTAGTTTCGCCTTCACGGCGGTCTAAACCGCCTGACCAGGCCCTTCGTCTTCCGTCCATCTACGGTTCACTCTGCTCCGCAAATTACTTTTACTTCAGGATCGAGGGACACCCTGATTATTTTAACCTTTCATTCCACGGAAGGAGTTTACCGCCAAGCTGTATATATCCGGGTTTTCGCTCGATATATTTGACAATCCGTGTAAGAGAAAATGTTCCCCCATTCGTATTGATTATAATTATACAAGGAATTATTTTTACGGCACACAGAGACTGTCAAAAAGCCTTTGAATTGATCGCGGCGAGCTTCAAAGTGATACAAACTTCCGCGTATATTTTTCCATTCGCGGGTATAATTATACGCGCGACAGGATGAAAAAGAAATTAATAATATCAAATGCGGACATAATGGCACGTTGTTGCGAGCCTATCTTCTTTTTTACACAAATGACGAGTTCTAAAACAGGAAAAGACAAATACACAGACGCAATATATATATATATATATATGAATTTGTGCGCGTGGGCGTAGACCAAGGAATGGACGCGAATGGAATCGTCCAATTATCCGTATCCTCATACTCTCGGATACGATTAATCAAAGGAACGCCAGCGGCTTTTATCCGCATTCTCTGTTTCGGTCCTCTCTGTACGGTCCCCCAAAAAGAACTGCGCGGTTTGATTCTGGTTCCATTGAAATGGCATTCATATTCAGTCTGCCTGGTCTGTGTTCGCTAATACGGACGAATTAAATTTCCATGATTAATCCACCACTGATTGGAAACGTGTAGAGTCATTTAGAGCACTGTAGCATATGTGACTGATTGAAAGTCATAATAATAATCACAGACATATCGCGTGCACAGCTGTGTCGTGATCGTATTTTTACACAATCATGTTTCGGCATAAGGTAAAAATGCTTTTAATTATTTTTTATGAGAAAAATGTATGTATAGTATATATAGAGGTAAAGTATTTTAATATTATGCTTTGTTATAATTTTCATCGTAATTAAAATCGTACGATTAAACGACGAGATATATGAAAAAAATTTCGCATATACACAATTTGTATATATCCACTGCGCACATAATTATTTGAGCGAATTGTTGGCATCCTTCCGTCCTACCTTGCGTAGAGGTTGCTAAGGAACGATCACACATCGGGCTGAGCGGATGTATGCGTATAATAGCTCTGAAATTTCTTCGCGGCGTTACACTTACCGAAGCATTTACTCTGGTTGGTCGCCCGGTCGATGAAGACTTTGGAGGAGATGACGTTGCCAAACGGGAGAAACATCTGCATGAGCTCGCCGTCACCGAACTCCTGGGGCAGGTGGTAGATGAACAGGTTGCAGCCCTCGGGTCCTGAGATAGAGCATCCTACCATATAAATCAGAGCACATCTAAACATCTAAACTTGAAGTATAATACTCAAGTTAGAATGTTAGTTCTGGATGAGTTCTGTTCTTCGCAAATATAAATGATTCCGCGCGATACGAGAGCTTCGACTCGTCAGCGAGATTGCCAGCGGATGCTGCTTTTCTCTCTCTGATTACTTTATTTCATCTGGAGTCTTTTCTCTTTTTGATGAATGTAGATGAATCTGCGGTCGACTCTTGTCGATTTCTCTCTCGTCCGTCCGAGTGCGAAATGATGATGAAAATGATTTTGTTTCACGCAAATGACGCGAAATGACATGAATATGAGTCAAGCGAAAAGTTGAACAGACTGCGAGTGAATGACAGAAAATGATGTGAAAATGACCAAAAAGTTGAAAACGAATGATTAGAAAAAGTCACGGGGATAATTTCGCCCGTGACTATTGATAGAAATCTCGCGATTCAAATAACGTTGAGTATTTATACTTTCAAATATATACACACAACACACACTAGGATTTACAACACAATGACGATGGATGAGGTGATGGAATACTGAGATGAGTGAATGGATGTGGGCGTGGTGACGATGATAGTGATGACACTGATTACGATGGTGCGATACTCCCGTATTTTCGCCAGACACGATAATCCGTCGCTTTATCTCGTCTACAGTATGAACATTCTAAGTGATCCAAATGTGCCGTCACTCTGCGCGTCTCTCTTCTTTATCAAATTGTGTCATCTAATTATAAACGAGGTTGCGATGCGATTTATTAACTGATATATTCATATACGTGTATGTATATGAATATAATTATCCTTATGTCAAGATCTGTGAGCTTCAAAATTACGTTACATTTTTTATGCTATTTTTAATGAGATTTTTGCAAATCAATTATCTCGTCATGATATCCTTAGGTCTCTCTTTCGACTTCCGGTGTTAAAATGCCAAAGACATCTAGGTTTAATTTCAGAGAAGAGAATGCCGAAGGTAGAGAAACGAAGAGAGGGAAGACTACCCGAATAACGGCAGTCCAAATAAGGATTTAGCTAATTTCACTGAACTTTATAACTCCGACGTCAATTAGCGGCGATTATGACCGTGGAAACTTCTGCTCTCTTGCCCAGGAGCTTCTCTTCGACTAACGGACGTATTTAAGTAATGAGATGGTTGCCACTCAACTTTTAGGATGCTACTCATCGCGACCTGTTCGCTTTTCCCTCGAAAGATCTTTCGCGGAAGGATCCTACGTTGAAATTTTCTGGTCGAATCATCATATAATTGTTCATTTTGTAAGCTCGATTACGACTTCCGGTACGTCGATGTTCAACAATAATCTTACATGGCTCGTTAAACGCGCGTTTACCAATCGATAAGATTATCATCGCGAATCCCGGCGAGTTTCAGAAACCGATGCGACATAGACGCAAAATTTTACGACGGTTTTACGAGGATATTTTCATCCGATCCGGAGAGATGATTTTCGTCGATCGTCCGAGAGAGTAAAAGTTGAAAACAGGGAATTACACTCGCTTGCAAAGTTACTGTCACAAAATTTGATTCTAAGACCCGAGGAAAGAATAAAACTTTCCTGTTAAGTATACATAACATATATCGTGTGCCGTTTGTATACATAGCGACGAAAATTTGCAAAGCGATACGATTCGCGATTTGAAAGTTCTTCTCGTAGCGACCGGTTAAGTTTGATACGAAAGAATAATATTTCCCAAGTAAATTACCAATTTAATATAAACTTTCTCGTCAATTATGAATTATGGTTGTTGTGTACTTGTTAGCGTTTCTCGAGAAATCGCAAACCTGTCCTACAGTTTACGCAAAGAGTGACAAACTCCTCCCTCTCTCTACGCGAAACGACTTCGTCCCGGTAATAACTCGATCGCGGCTGTCACGCGAAACCCAAATTAGCACGAGTGTCGACGGGTTTCCGGTTCCGACTAGGGAGAGCACGAAGGGGAATTGCGGTGGACGACGAAATCACGAAGAACGAGCCATAAATTAAAGCCCGTCGTCGTGTCGAGCGCGCGATCGTTGATCCTGAAATTGGTTTTCGCCTCTCTAATTGGCACACACGCGGTACGTGCACGCGAATTTAATGGGAATGACTACCTTGCGCGTCTACTTCTATTGAAAAGTAATAGCGGGATACTACGTAAAACATCGAGATACCGAAATTTATACAATCATCCTTTTTACATCATGAAATCTTCGTTCAAATGTGCTCTTTTGTGTGACATAATGAATAATTTCAATGTATTTTAAATGTTATATGTTGTGTGTACAATTATATCTCTGAAAATACTATATGCACACAGAATTTCTACGAAAATAATCTCTCGTGCGATCTGAATACATATAATTATATTTGAGAATCTTATATGAGTTGTCATTATTTGACAAATTGGAATTTATTATTTCGCTTGATAGAATGGCACGTTTTATAAATTAATCTGTTAATGATATCTTCAGTTTCGCAAATGAAACGGTGTTGCCGATCGCGAAACGGATTCGTGTCGGATTTCTGGTACAGACGATCTCGCAAAGTCTCGCAATGCACGTATCACCGTCTCGTAGCGAAGCAACAACCAACATCGGTCGACAGCGCAACACCGAGAACAGCCACTGACATCGAGTGCAACGGCGAAAACACCGAATTAAACGACGAACATCCGAGATACGCTGACGAATAAAGAATAAAGAAAAAAGAAGGAAGGAAAGAGCTATCCGTGTACAAAACGTTAAAAAAATATATCGTGGCACAGTCATGGTTAGAGAGAAGAAATGTATAATAATACGAACACCGAGAACATCGTGTATAAGACGTAGAACACCCAGAACAACGATCAAGGAGCTTAAAGTAACACGGAGTAAGGGTAAACTCGCGAAGCGACAGTCAATAATAGATCGATACCACTGTCATGCAATGATGACAATAACGTCGATTCCCCTTCGGCTCCCCTGGGTTCCGTCCGATATTGCGGCACGCCTAACGACTTTGACATCTAACATAAGTTTCTCCAAAAGATGGAGTGTCTTTCTGCACGTTTCCTTTTATTTTTACAAAACTTGTGTCTAGCACAGAGAAGTTTCCAGGAAGTCAGCAATATGATAAGCGTTGCTCTCTCTCGTTGAAACTTTGGGAACTATTTGTGTTTCTGACAGAGTGTTTTACACTTATAAACGCACGAAAAAAATTGTCACTCAAAATTTGCCACTCGGTTTAGATTATGCAAATTACGATTCATAAATATAATATAGTTATCAACTAACAGCCATGTATAATTCTTTAACATTTTACATCTCGTCAAGTTTATACATATATCCGTTTGGAAAATGAATTTATTAATAACTTTCTTCACCGCGGATCAGAGGGACGTGTTTAAATTCGCCTAATCAATGCGCGAAGCTCCTCGCCATGTACTGGAAAATTCGATTAGAGATCTCTCGTGTTCAAGAATCGCGTGTACCGCTTACGATTTAATCGCGGTGCATGGGAAAACGTCAGAACGCATCGACGAGACGAAAAGATCAGGTGGAACGAGAATGGAAATGGATGAGAGGAGCGAGAGAGAGAAAGAGGGAGAGAGAGAAAGAGAACCGGGACGAGAAGGGAACAGACGTGGACGAAGGGAAAGGAGCCAGAGGGTTTGAGGCCGGATAAAACGGAGGCGGGGTAGCCGTGTCGCGGTAAACTTTCCATTATCCTGCGATGTAACAACGGATCGCCGGCGGGCGTAGCGGCAAAGTAATTAAAACTTTCGTTTTATTTGCATTATCTCATTGCAAGGCGTCGTATATTCTAATAATGGCGAGTTGTTAATTGCAATTAGGCGTTGGCTCGCTCAGCCCTCTTCTAACCCGGGTCTTCTCCCTGTCGACTTTTTCCCTGTCTTTGGCTCCTTTCTTCTCTGTACTTCTCCGCAAAATGTAGCGTAATAAATGACTAGCTCTCCCTGATACATCTACTAAGCGAGACTCGCGCTGTCTCTTTGACCGATTGCGTTCTTCTTCTTCTTCTTTTTTTTTTATTCAAACCAATGGTTTTTAATTAATCGCATTTTTGTGCAACTTCGTAGGACTACAGTGAGAGTAAAATGATCGATTTGACTTGTTCGCGCTTCTCTAAAGCAATCAATTTCTTTCGATTGAAAAAAAAAAAAAAAAAAATAGACAGATCAGTATTCATCCGACGTTTGAAAAGTACGAGGCAACGCGAATTTTTTGAAATACACACCTGGCACACATTGCAATATCAAAATTAAACCAGGAAGGACGAACACGGAAGGTGAAGCGAAGCGAAGCACGCTCTGAATTGATTTTCGCGAATACCTTCCGCTCATCGCTTCTGCTCGCATAATCGAGCCTCGCGGCGTGATGTCGCTTTATTTGCGAAGTATGGAATTAACGGTACGAGCTGCTCTGTGCGGCGGCGGGAGAAGTCGAAACTCCGTCTTGCACCTCGTTGGGCGCCGACGAGGGATAATTCGTGTCTGGACGTGTGTACGGGACGTGGGTCTACAAATCTCGGGTCTACAGTCGTTCGTGTTTACAGTCAACAGTTAGACGTTGATGAGCGTGTTGTACTTACCTTCCCTCTGCGTGGGCGCCACCGCGGTCATCGGCTGAGGAATAGCCTGAGGAAACTGGCCGTAGACGGCGGGGTAAGCTGCGACAATAACAAATAACAAGTACATCATGATCTGTCCACATCTAGATTTGTGCGTGCCACTGTCTCTATCTCTGTATTCCATTCTTATAATCTTTCTCTCTCTCTGTTTTTTTTTCCCTTTCCGCATTGCAATCCGCAGTCGACCGTCGTCGACAGTAAGAGCCGGCGACAGGTCGAAACCGGCAACAACCCCCGAACGAATGTAGGCGTCGTAATTCAATGCAGCGATAGCGCATACATAATGGACGATGACAGTAATAAAAACCGAACAGAGTCCAATAAACGTCAACAGATTCAACAGAAATTGCGTTGCCATTGCTAGACAGATTACAACGGCGTAATTTATGACCGTGCGTTTCAGAAGCGTCTGGATACGTAACCGGACGCGGCCATTCATTCTTGCGATTTGCCGAAGACTCGGTTGCGAAACGAACGGGGAAAGGTCAGAGTGTCACAATGTTAGAAGAATATGAAAATGTCAAGAACGCAAAGGAATATGATTCTCCGCGCGAATCGTGAGAGAGATGCAATAATTCGAAATATGCAGGTTATTAAAATCTCAACATTAATGACAGATTCTGTGATTCGTTTTGGAATGACAAGCTTTTCGAGAGAACTAAGCTCTCTGGACGCACACATAGGCACATAAAGTAACATTTACTTAGTTTAGGTAAACTTTTCTATTTGTTCAACAATTTCAAGTCTACGTCTTTAAAATGAGTATTTAATTAAAATGAAAAAAGTAACGAAAATGTGAGGTCCATCTTTTTCCCGAAGAAACTATTATCTCTCTAGGACATTTTCCAGGACATAATCTCATCATTAACGCAAAATATATAGGAATCGCGCCTTTATTCCTAAGAGCGACCTGTGTGTTTATCCCGGCTTAAAAGCGCGAGCGAAAAGAGCGATTCGTTGATACGAAACGGCCGTCTCGTACAAGCGATTCCAGCCATTTCAGGTGGCATTCATCACGGCGTTTTCGCTGACAAGGGTATTCGTCTCTCAACGTTCTCACCGTTCCGCGCGACTTTCAACACGATACTTTTGTGCTCCGAAACGTCGCGTCGCGGCCTGCGAAAACGCAGCGTTGCATTCGGTGCGACATTAGCCGACACTCGATATCTCTTCAAAGCCGATTCGGCTTGAAACGACGCGCCTCATTAAAACGGGATACGCGGGGACGCCGTCTTAGCGCAACGATGCAGCAAAAGTCGTCGTCTCTACCAAAGCTGCGCGGAAAAATATCCCGTTGCAATTTATGCGAAACTAAATATTCAAACAATTAAGAGAAAAGCATCCCACTCTTTACAAATGTTAAAATGGAAGATTTCGCGAAAGGGATAAATACGACTCGTATAGAATAAAACTTTGAAATTGGAGAGACATTATCGTAATAACGTTTGCTTAATATCACATTACACAACGAATCGATAGAAGCTAGCATTATTATAACGAGCTTTTTATATTCTAACGAGTATTCGATTACGCACGTATTCCCGATTAATAATTGACGGTCGATATATTAAGAATTGAAGAATCGCTCGCGATATAATGAAATTCTAATGTAACAAACTTAATATGAAAACCCGAGTAGATTTTGCCGTAATGCTATTTTATATCTGTATATATCTGTGTTATATCACGGAGGGTGGAAACGCCCCCGCGCGTAAAATGAATAAATATCAATATTACATCTGATCAACGAGAATCTGCAAAATATTTCACATTAAACACAGAAGTGCCTGATATATTTTAATTCGCGACGCGATCTCTGCGCGTTTGATGACAATTGGTTAGTCTGTAAATTCGGATCTCTCTCGCTATAAACGCGCACGCATCATATATCGTTCGCTACACGTGACGAGGCAGAAAGCAAGTACGTCGTTATTAATTATAGCTTGATAAATATTTAAAACGCTCGTGATTGATACCTGTTTGTGACGGATAGGCGGAGCGTGTGCGCGCGAGCCACGCTCTCTCAGATCGGCAGAGGCGAATTTTCGCCCCGGAATTAATTATTTCCGTGCAAACATCGCTTTAATATATTCCGATTGACGTTACCCGACGGCCCCCTCTACCCCTCGCTGCGCGATGGATCAACGTTTGGCGTATGAAATAAATACGCCATCATACGTCGGCCGCGTCACGCTCAGATAGAGGTACACCGTTATTCGGGATTGCTTTTTTTCCACTCGCTGATCTCGATGGCGCGTGTGTACACTGGCCGAAAATACATAGAAAAAAATATACCACTTTTGAGTCCTCGGTAAATACGACCGCGTATATCCTCGCACGCGCACGCATACGTTTGTGTAACTCGAATTTGTTGAATTTTCGCCGATACGATGAAAATGCGTTGAGAGACGCGATGAGGCAAATTTTTTAATCGGACGAAACAGGAATAAGTAGCGCGTCCGCGAGTTTGTTTCTTGCATTCCCGATTATGTAGTATTATTTTTTTTTTTTTTTTTTTTTTTTACAAATTCGATCGATCAACAGTGTCCGATCGACTGGCGTTAGACCACGTGTTAACGCATTTGCGCGAACGCGGAATTCGTTAAACGCGCTCTCATTACGGACGGTGATTGGAATGTAATAGAAGTATAGGTCCATCGAGACGCTGATTATCCGTGAAACGAGATCATCCATTTTGCCGGGCATTATTGGATCATAATTTGCGCCGATGCGCTGCACTTTGACGTTGTTGCAGCGCAACGTCGACGGTCGATGGCGGATATTTCGCCGCTGGTGTTGGTGGCTGGGGGAATGCATGCACGAGAGGACGTGTTACGTGTAAAACTACAATATAATATGTACACGAAGTACATTTAGAAGGACATCGAAGTACATCGTAGCATCACAGCAGAAGCATTATAGAACGAAACGTTGACGCGTACACGATCATGTATGACGTGTATGTATGGTGTGTATACGCATGCGGCCATAGTTGCATGCAAACAACCAGCAACGCGATCAGCGAAATCGAATTTTTCGCAGGTAAGTGCTTCGACGGCGCCCGAATAAAAGCACGTAAACGTTCTGATGCATTTTTCCTTTACGTACAGATGATCTCCTCCCTTTTTTCCTCGAGAACACGCGCGCTTTTCGACCCGCTTAAGATCGCGATAGGCAACATCCGGGCGAGATGAGGATATACGCGAGGTATTATCTAGTCGCGTGTTAAAACCGATGATCCGTTCTATTCGCTAAAACGATAATGCGAAACGCGTTTGTAAAACTTTCAAGGCGATTTTAAACGGAGTACACGCGAATTAATTTCACGCTTTACGAATCGCTTTAGAAATCGTGACTATAATTAAATTCTAGTATTTTGTAATAACGTTGCTAGAATAAGATATAAATATATAATTGATGTTCATTAAAATTCATTTATGCAATTTCGGAGTAAAAAATGGACAAGACCGCGCGTCTATATATATATATATATTTTTTTTTACGTTGATATCCGCGAGTTTGGGTGGAGTTTTGGATGGGCAAAACGCGCTACAGTCATTGCACGAGGAACAGGGTAGACCAAGCACCTTGACAAGCCGTGGAGATAAAAATTGAAGCTGGAGAAACACTTACCGGCCACTCCAGCATAAGCCTGCATTCCAGGATACGCGGCGGCATGCTGAAGTGCCGCCTCCCCGTTGGGCAGCCCCTGCGCTGGAATGGACAGATGGAGGGCATCTACACTTCAGTAAGCTCAGCTCTTATCGGGGAGAGGGCCTAGCCTAGAGGCCCCTGTCGCAATACCCAGTAGGCCAATCGATATTTCCCGTGACTATACTCGAGTATAGTAATGACTATCCGAATGGAGCGATAAAGGCCAAAGATTAATGGAAGCTTGACTATAGGAATAATCATATATCACCCTCTGTGTAAAATTTATCGTTTGCACGGTACGATTTATACGACAGTTTAATGATTCGTTAGCGTTGTACTTGATTTAACTCGACCAATACTCAAATTGTTTTTGTATTCTTTTTTTGGAATTATGAAGATCGAGATTCAATCGAGAAGTCTTTCGTATAATATTTTTCAAACTGTAGGTATACATTTTTTTTATAAATGAGATCTTAATAAAATTAAACTTTAATAATTTATCCTCGTTCGATGTTGTTCACGTGATCTGAAAGAAGTTTGTTATCGCTTACAAAATATCAATCTCGCGTTTAGCGAAAGTTGACATAAGCACCTTCCACGTATGAATCTCGTATCATCGTAATTTCAGCGCTTCCTCGCAAATAAACGCCAACGAATGTAGCGGCGCTTCCTCAGCGAAGCACAGGGGAAGTATAACGAGTATCGTCCGACGTACTCGGCGTTGTACTTGGCTTGCGCGAAGTTATTTACATCCCCGCGGAATAATAAAGTCCGTCGTCGATTGGCCGGGCATTGCGCAGGGGCGGCACGCTGCGCCTGAGTTGATACTCACGTCCCGCATAAGTCTGCGGTATTCCGTTGGTGTAGACACCTGGATCCGAGCCTGCCGGCTGGCCGTTCGGCGTTTGAGCGGCCATGTTAAAATTGGGCATCGTCGGCGACGGTAACGACGGTATCGCCCCGTTAACCGGTTGCCCTGTGCCGGTACCTACGAGCAAACCTGATCAGTACACCCTGGTTACCCTCTTGCTCTTTTAACACCGACCTCGATCGTCCTCTGTGCGCGAGGCATCGGAATCGGGATGCAATTTTTATCCTTTTATTTTTTGTTCTCACACTGTTTTTTCTCCCCTTTCTGTGTCAGATGTAATTACAACAAATATTCGATCCGGGAAATGATCCGTATGCCTCGCGTTTGAGGGGTCGGACGAACTACGGACCGTCGGGTTTGTTGATTTGATCCGTAGAGCAGAGCCTTGTATCGAGTTAATATCGGTTCGATCAAAGGGCTGCGTTTAACGTCGCATTTTTTTCTGTCTCTCTCTCCCTCTTACCCTCTGTGATCCTGTGTTGCGCTTCATGCAACTTTTGCGTAATATATACGATCACGTATTATACTACTGCGACTATATGCTTGTTTTTGATATATGTACTACAACGTTTATATGAAAAGGTCGTGTTTATAGGTAGGTAATAGTTTGTCCCCTGTCAATGATGTGACTCGGATCAGCGATCAAAGCCTTGCATCGTGTTAATGACGCATTGATCGCGCCAATGACCAACGTTTGGTATCGCGTCAATATTACTCGCGGCATTGATAAAGAGATATAATTATGTTTGAGTAATAGCTGTGTTGTTTCTATCGAGTTGATGCAATTATGGAAAATATGCAGTCAAGGGCACACGATAACAATAATATTGAGGTACGTATGTTTATGATGTAATTAAAACACAACTTTTTGAAATTAAAAGAATAAATGTCGGGAGAGCTTCAGCTTTCCAAAGATCCGCGATTGGCTGTCGGATAAAGATAAGTGCCGGCACTTTAATGCATATCCGAATCGGGTCTATATGTATAGCTGCGAAAGGTGGAAGATGGGGAAGAAGAATCTCGATGCCTCGATAACATCCAGAGATTACGCTGTGCACATCCTACCTATACGTGCATCGGGTATGACGATACATCGTAAACTTAAACTCCCGTGACTGCGCAATATACGCCCCGACATTCTCGATTCGCGATGGGTAGTCGAGCGGTTTCTCTACACGGATGAGATTTTTACAACGGCACTGAAAGCATTGTTACCTCAAAGTATATTGATACATTCGTGCGCGAAGAGTTCTCGTTGAATTTTGCAATTTAGAATTTCGCAAAGTAGATAGCGAGAAATTAATTACAACGCGCTATTTCAAATTGTATTTTCTATAGGAAGACCCTTTTTTTTTACCGAGGTATTTTTATTTCTAACTAAAAATAATTCCGCTTTAATTTCTACATCATCGATGAATCCTCTTTCACAGAATACTTTGAAATGCAATTATCGTCGGAGTCACAGAGCGTTTCTCCGATAGATCCACCTGCAAGTGCCATCCTGTATACATGCCGTTTGCGGTTGCGGTATCGTTCCGTCGGAAATAAAAGCTCGCTGCTTCGGTAATCTTTGATACGGAGTAAAGCGGATGGACGCGACGGGTTGGGTCGGGGGAGATTGGCGGAGAAATAAAATATTATTTCCCTATCAAACGGTATTACCTTCCGCTTGACGAGACTCGACGTATAACGGAGCCGATTTCCTCGCTTATTTTATTTCTTTACAGCGATTTCGACCTCTCCGTTGTTTCTTGTATCGCCACGCGGAGGGCGCGAATAAAGAAAGACGGGGTGAAGAAAGAAGGGAAAGAAGGGAGAAGGGCAAAGGAAGAAGCGTTTCTTTGGCTTTTCTTTTTCCCTACAACGAGTTTTCGATAAAGTTTCGCGGTACCGGCAATATCTCTCGCTCGAGTCACGTTCGATGAAAATGTATTGATTTACGAGTCCAGTTATAAGGCAACCGACTGTACGTCTCGTCTGTCGCGAGGATTCAGGAAAATTATAGGCAACAGATCAGGGAGAAATGGCGGCCGAACGGGGGAGATGTTTTATATTACTAAAATTGGACAGCGTTATCAGAGATTGATGATTAATCATTCGTATGCCCTCGAGTGCTTTCTTCCTTTTTGACAAATATTTTAATGGATTGACATTATTAATTGATTAACTAATACCTCGACGTTGATTAATTAGGATTGAAAAATTGGATATTTATTTCTCATATGGTTTTCGTAAATTGTTATTGATATATCGTATGACGGATACGTTCTTTATCTATACTAGCAAGGTGTGTATATTATATATTTTTATTATAACTTGATATTTTGAATTAATTAAATTGCGAATAGATTGGAAATATAATAACTCCTTAATTAAATACAAATATTGATAAATGCCAATGTTTATCTGTAGAAAAGAATATTAAATAATAAAAGTATTATAAATATACGCAGATTTCTGAAAGAAAGATGCCATTTTTATTAAGACAATATATTATATCGATATTCCTCACTAGATTACGAACGTCTCCGCCAAAAAGTTTATAGAATTCGATCAATGTTCATATTTTAGTTTCAAAAAAATATCTCGGAAATTAGAAAGTAAATGAGTTCTCTTGCGACACTCGCAACATAATCAGTATCTTGATTTTTTTGCAGCCAGCTATATAGCTTACCAGAAGTTGGCGGGACTACAGGGTTTGGCATGCCATTCAATGCATGCGGCAATTGTCCAGCGGCCAATGCAGTCATTGGATTGATGTATGTTCCCTGTGCGGTCGCGGCTGCCATGAGCGCCGCTTGTTGCTACAATAAAGAAGAGAATTTCAATAAAAAAGAACGTTCTCCCTCTAGTATTTTTCCATTACTATTTCAATAAACACCTTTTGAATTTATTGCAAAAAATGAAACCTTGATTAATATTTATCTAATCAATATTTTTTATTCAAAAACGAAATTTTTTTTCTATTCCAAATTGATGAAAAAGGAATTGTGGCTAAAAAACCATGATTTTGAAATATATCGTGGAATATTATAAATGTAGCATTTTTTTTGTGCGGAAAACGATATTTTTGTCTTCCGCTAAACTGGTCGAGTCTGGGAAAAATTAAACCACGAAAGGTGATTGCGGCGGACCTCTTTGCATGCCGGCGTTAACGCGACGGTATCGTGTTTCGGCCGATCATTTCCGAGAGTAACGAGGGACGAGCCATCACAGATTGTGAGTCGCGGTAACGAGGACAACAAGGCGGTAATGCGGTAACGCGAGAGCCATTAACGGTAACACGACCCACCTGAGCGTAAGCGCTGTAAGCGCCGAACTGATTGAAGACGAAGGGGTTAAGGAGGCTCATGTTCCCGGCCATTTGCTGCATGCGTCTTAGTTGTCTCTCTTTATCAGTGTCTGCGAATTTTACCACTATGCTGGATGACGCACCCTGAAACAGATAATGCAATATTCATAATTTCGCTCTCATAACGTTGGGATTTTACAACGTACCAGATGCTAGCTACGTGTACATTTTAACGATCTCCGTAACGAGCTATTATTTTACAACACACAAGAGCAACGTATGAAAAATTAGTTTTACTCAGATTTTTATAAGTGAATAAATATAATTAAGGATTTATACATTGTCGGTATTTTTCACGATATCATCTGTGCGAAAAAAATCAAATAATTTATTAAAATAATTTCTCATGTAAATTTCGCTCATCGAAACTGTCGAGTTCTAATTAGAACTTTGAAAGCTGAATTCTTCTCTATACATTTCACTGTCGATTCATAATTTTTTTTATTGTTAAAATTAAAATGATTTGTAATCATAATATTTCCTCAAAGAAAATGCAATACAACGGTAAAATAATATCAAATATAATATGCAAAGCAAAATGAACGCTCGCACAACGCTTGCTAGAAAGAGCAGGTATAAAATGTACAATGAAGAAGTGATTCGCAATCTTTTCGCACGAAAAAGACTCCTTTTGAGATGCTCGCGAGAATATGTAAGGCGATGACGTTCTCACGACGTCTAAAATATAAATGGAAAGGCAACAGGTGGTCAGTGGCCATTGTGGCTGCGGAGAAAAGCTCGGCTTTCGCGCGCGAGCACCCGGTGATACATTATATTCACGTCATCAATGCAAATGCTGGCTGGGCGCGCGTTCCTGAGAGTTTATATAACAGTTGTAATGTTACAACTTGCGTAACGAGACTTTTAGCTCTGGTCACGCGACTTCGCATGGCGTACTTCACCGTGCTTCTTTCGCGCTCTTTCCTCTCCAGCGTTTTTTTATGTCGCTCGTTTGCTTTTTTTCAACATCCTTCCTTAGGGAGCCTAAAATGCTCAACAATGAAGGAACATATATCAAGTAAAATTATTCATGTAAATATATTCCTTAATATAATCGCTCCTAATTAATTCAACATTTTTATGAGATTACATTCAGTTTCATAACTTCTATCGATTCAACGTTTATTAACTGCTTCCATCTTGATTTATACACTGACATTAAATCGATATTATCGTGATGAACGACTTTTCGATTTACAAAAGCCTCGCGTCGCAGACAGAAATTGTTACACAATGAGAAGTGAATCTCATATGTAATCTACATATTAAAAATATGGCCAGATGGATCTATAATGGGCGCGTTTATTTCTTGAAAATCATTGGAATAATTGATGTTCTCATGTCATATAAGAGCTCAATGAATAATCGTTATTAAATTTGTAACGATAATAATAATAGTATGCCAATTAAATTATTTTCTATTTGATAAAATTATAACATCTTAAATAAACTAAAAGTATATAATAAGTATGTAATGTACAAAAGTAACTTTTTTCAATTTATCTATAAGATCAGTTATATGTATCAGTTATATGTTAAGATTAATAAGAAACACTTGAATTTAATCGAACAATACGAGGGTATATAATTGCAGACTATTTTAAGTGGCAGATGCTAAATTTTACACAGTAATAAGAAACAAAAAGTTCTCTATCTACGGCACGATTGTTATGCATTAACAACTGGAGCGTATATCGGTAATCGATCGACTGCGTCTTCACCCCGCGGGAATTCTCTGCAAAAGGCACATGGCTCGTTATTCATCAGCGAATCACATACTGGCTGACTGGTGCAATTGCTTTTAATTTAACGACGAGGACGTCGTCAGATTCAGAATCGATAACGCGATATATCCGCCCGACAGATTTCCACGGAACGTCACCTTATTGCGATACATCGCGTTCCGTTCCTATTAGATCGATCGAGATGTCGCCTCGCTGGCTTCAAAGACAATCCCGATGTGAAACGTTTTCAGCATATATGCGCACACTAACCCGTCCCGACACTCTCGCGGCAATGCGTGTGCCATGCGTCGGGATATTCGCTTTACGCGCGTTAAATGCTCGCCCCCGAAAGAGGGAGAGATTTTACGTCGACGCCAATCGACGCTGTCAGAAACACTCGCTCGTTTCGCCGCGCCAAATTTTGCTTTTATTGTTTTTTTCTTTTTTTTTTCTACGTCGCGCGTTTTGTTCAGAACATTCGAATGGGCATTCTCATCGAATGTTCGCGCGACAAACGAAATTACGCAGGTGCGACTAGCTTTTACAAGAGACTCTCCTATTGTCTCTCCTCCGTGACCAGACTCGAGCCATTGTTTTCGGATATTTTCAGTATAAGTTAATTTCTCGAAAATGTTACACATAAATAAAAGTGACGCAAAGTTGGAGGTAAATATTTCTATTCTATTTCTTCTCGCGCATTTGGAAATATATAACTTGAAACTCGAGTTGTAACGAGCTTTAGTCGATAATTTACGGTGCAAGGTCGGACACTTGAAAGGTTATTGCGTAAAAATCATCTCCCTTTGACTTTTCAGTCGCGGCATCACCTTCGGCAACGCGTGTGGCAGACATACCGTTGTATTTGGCATTTTCGAACGCTGAAGGGCTCGCACTACACGAGCACCTCGGTTATTAAAAGTTTCGTTTGTGGCCGGGCCTCGAACGGGGTCAAACGCGCGTATAACCGCGAGCGTCGCGAGAAAACCAGCGACCAGGTGCACTTTACAAAAGCATGAAAGTTTTGGGAGCGCGCGGATGTAACTTTCTGCATTACTGTAACTATAACTAATATCGAGAGTTTTGCGCGCGCGATACACTTCCCTTTTTAGTTTAGCTATATATACGTTTGCGTTACTCTTAAAAGCTCTGCGATGGAACAAAACTGCGAAGTATACTTTTACGTTCTTTAAAGGGCATTTTTTTGCACTATTGCTACATTTTATTGAGCATTTTATCTAAAAGATTTTTAAAAAATGTTAATTTTCTCGAACATTTTTCAATAAACCACGCATTATGTTTAAATGTTGTAAATCTCAAAAGTACTTTAGATAATTATTTTTTATATTCAAATACATAATATTTGTCGTTTATCAAAAGCAATAAATAAAATAAAAGAATCAAAAAATATATATAACAAAGTGTTGACAAAATTCTATTCCTTCTTCCTGTAAATTTCAATCTTTTGTCAGTTACAATGTTATGCGAGAGAAAGTTCTAAATTCAAAAACTTTCGCAAAAATAAATTTATTTAACTCGTTGCTCGCAACGATAATGTCAAAAGCCTACCATTTTATTCCGATAATAATTCGAGATACTTTTGTTACGAGTTACAACTGTGGCAATTACGAAAATCTTCGTAGAGCGTACGAGAAACTTCTGAGTTAGTAGCCGAGATACTTCAAGTTCATCGAATAAATCGTACGCTCTAAATATTAACGAGTTCGAGGTCAGCGTTGACGTAAAGGAAAAATTGGAAAGTCAAATTTTCCAACAACCACCGCGGTCCGTGCCAATCGGCGTGTGCGTATTACGCTCTTTCGTGCGAGAAAAATGGTCGAACCAGCCGCGCTGGTTACGCGCGATGAACGGCATCGACGCGTGCTCTCCCCGGGAAGATAATTTGCGTCGACAGTCTCGAGCCCCCGAGGTCTTGTGCAGCACGCAGGTGTAGATGTCCATAAGTAATGTACGTGTGTGTGCCCCCGTGTTTGTGTATGTGTGACATTTACGCGAGCACATATGTACGTTGTCGCGCACGTGTGCGGCATGGAAGAGACGAGGCTGGAGCAAGGCTAGGCGCGATCGGGGGTGCGCGAGGGAAGGTGAGGTCGTATCGGAGCCAGTGAAGCCGAAGCCTCATTATTGGGGGATTACGGTTCATTAATTCCGATCCAACGTTCTGAACTGCACGCGAAAAGGAAAAGCCGTCCTCCCGAGAGCCGGAGGTATCATGCGGGGAACGTTTGAAGTCGCTACCGCTCCCTGTTGCTCGTTATGTCTGTCCTACGTGTCGCCCCCGTTAAGGTTGCCCCTTTAAAAAATGTCGATATTAAAGCTCGCGCGCGCACCTTTTTCCATTATGATTTCATGAGCCGACGCGAACGTGGGTTGCGCGTCGCGTTTGATGTTTCATATCCGCGCGCGTATACGTCGTTGTCTGCTTGAATTTGAGCTCGCCGTTCTCAGAGACGCGCGCCTGGTCGATGCTTTTTTATATCCGCACTTCGTCGGCGTCTCGTCGCTTCTCATTAACCGAAGATCGAGAGAGAGAGAGAGCTCCAAGATAAAAGTTGGCGAGGATATCTCTACTCCCTGGGTACTTGAAACGGCGCCTCAGCGTCGGAGTTTAGCTCAGAGGGCTACAATATTGGGCAGGCCTTGCCAACGGAATGAAGCAATTACCTGCTGATTGGAGGCTCTCCCGTTAGCCGCACCATCACACTTGCCAATCCGCTAGATGGTAATTTCAATAGATACAACTGGAACCGCAAGACCGGGCGGAACGCCGATTGCTCCTCGTCCTCTCGTGTGATTCTCCGTCGAACCGGAGTACAGAAGCGAGCGTTTCCAATTCGCGTCGACTGTATTTCAAATTACAAACCGCTCACGCGATCCTTTTAAATGTCGGTGGAAAAATAGGTAATTGGAAAATCGTAAAGAGCATCGAATTGATATAACACTGAAAGATTTCGAGCACTCATAAAAGGTCGGAACAGTAAAACAAGAAGAGAATAAAGGTTGGTAATTATATAAATGAGAGCAGCCATAATGTATTACACAAATTATGCGTAATTTATTCTACAAATGTTTTGCGCATTATAATAACACTGACATTTTAAGCAATTACTACTTTCTGTTTTATTCGATCAGCTGTTTAACCTTTGCAGAACTCGTCTCTCTTCTAAATTTCTCTCTTTATTTAATCTATTTTTCTTTATATATTAAAGAATGATATATTTTGTTATTTTAAAGGATTCCCAAGTAGAATAAATAGATATTCGTGTATTTTTATATCGTTTCATCGTAAGTAGATTCGATTAATATCGTAATGAAGACGTAGAACAAACGTCGTCGAAATCC